GATTACTCACAAAACAGCCATCAAGAGCAAATTAAACAAAAATTTTAGATGGAAAAAGGTAAAACTAAGTAGGTACCTAACATAGATAAAATAAAATCACAATCTCTGCCCATTGGGCTCCGCTCTGGCCGGTTCTGAATACCTTAGATCTAAACCAAGTACTACATGAAACAATGTAAGTGATATAATGGAATTTATTCCGAAAATTAATTATTGTCTTAGTCAGAAGGTGTGTCATTCCATTCTGCTGTACATACACGAATCAGTAAAAGCAATTTGTTTAAAATATCTAGTGATCTAAAGTAACGAAACAATTGTGATTGCGCCAGCGGCGTAACTAGGAAAAGGCGAAAAAATTGCAGAAACTAAAAAGTCGGTTAATTTTTAACAATTTTTTGGCCCTTTGTGAGTGCTTTTACAGGCTTGTTGAAGGCCACTCTGAAATTGTCCCAATAAATCCAACTTTCGAATTTTTTAATAAAAATATTGACTGCTTACCAGCGAGAATAAAATCCAAAAAGTGTTTTTTTTTACATTAACAGCACTGATGTACGAAAAGTCAACTCCATAACACCGTATAACCGGGTGTGGTTGTCAAAATATGGTCGAAAACAGAAACGTCAAACAGCCAGAAAATGCCACAAAGTTCAATCAAAATGAACGGTAAAATCTCTGTAAAACTCCACATATACACACATACATCCAGTCGACACGTTTGAGGTTAAACTTAACCTATACCCGACCGTGGACTGAAAATCTGGTACCAACGGTAGCGACGCGGTTCAAAGAATCGCGGTTGGCCGGTTGCATTGCGTTGCCATGACTTCACCGCAACAGGTACTCGTTTGTTTTAGCGAAAGAAGAAAGAACCGCAGTACCATTTCGGGTACAATCGTCGTATGTCGGCGTGCAGAGCAGCGGTGGTTAGACGGTTAGTTGGTTGCTGGCTTGCTTTGGTCATTTGAGGAATCTCATGCGTGGTTCCGATATTTTCCCCTTTTAATTGCCATTTGTTTGGAGCCAATTCCTTTTCAAGTACAAGGTGGTTCGAATCCGGAACGGTGAAGGGTCACAAACGACTAAAATTCGCGTGGTTACCTAGATGATCAGGCCCAGGCGTCTTATAAGCAATTCTTTTGTTAGCAACTTTTTTGAGTGATTTTTTTGGCGAAAATTCCGGTTTTAACAACTTGTCACTAATTTATATTCATTAGATTTACATTAGGCAACAAAGCATGATTAGACTTCCGGTCTGTCTGTCACACCAATGACACTTCTCCAGTCAGGTCCTTAATATTGCTTTTTGTTAACCGAATAATTTTCAAAAAATTATTGCGAAAGAACCGTAATCGATAGAAATGTGCGCTTTACAGCGTTCGAAAGAGACAAAAAAACTCTAGAGACCTAAACTTGAATGGAAAGCAATTTTTTGAAACTTTTGTTCTCAGGTTGCAAATACTGAATTTGCATAATCAAACTTATAACCGAATGACTTCAAGAAATCCATAGTGAAAGAACCTTATTCGGTTGAACTGTGCGTTTCGCAGCATTTGAAAGAAACGAAAATTACCACATAAGGTGAGCATATTTTTAGCGGCAAAATTCGGCTAAAATTCTTTAATGTTACTGTACCATAAGCAAACCATAACGGTGATGGTGTCGTTTGCGGACCTCGGAATTTGTAGTTTTGTCCATCCTTACCTTAAAGATCACTTCCAATTAAGTGAACTCACTCAGTGAAAATTTTCCTGAAGGGTCCATAAATTACGCCAAAAAACTTCACTTTTCACGTTAAATTTCGAGCGGTGTTGCCAAAACTGCGCAAAAGTTTCAAGTTAATGAAAACTGTTTCCTTAGATACCTACCATGCAGATTCATTCAATTTGGGTTAATTTGGGTTAGATAGGGTTTTATATGCAATAGCTACCATGCTAACACAAACTGAATTAAGTGGTTCATTCATTTTGAAATAATCCTTTTTTTCATTGTTACACACAAACTGTTAATAAATGGGTGAAATACGTGGCAACACCGCATTGTGCTGAATTCTCCAAAGAAATATAAACAATCCAGCAACTGTCTATTGACATGCTACGTAACCCCAAGCAAAGGCGAGGTCAGAAAAGACGCTCAAACTTTTGCAAAAAACGGAATTATTATGCATCTTAGAGACAATTTTGCATGTGGAGTTATGAACTGTTGATACCTAAAACACGATTTAGCAGCAAGTAGCACCGGACAATATCATTTTCGTGCATAAATAAGTGTTTTTGAAAACTCAAATTTCAAAAGTTTGTGAGTGTTTTTTGGCTCAATTTATGGACTCTTCAGGAAAATTTTCACTGAGAGTGCTTAATTTGAAGTGATCTTTAAGGTAAGAATAAACAAAACTACAAATTCCGAGGACCTCAAACGACACCATCACCCAAGCGAAAATTCAAGTTTTATCTTGACTGACCAAAACATTTTTTTTTCAAATTTCAAACTAACTTTCAATGGGCACCAAATTGCTTTATTTGCCCCAATTTCATCAGCCCTATATACCTTTCATCAACTCTAATAATAAAAATTAATTTTCAAGCACCCTGTAAATTTGAATGTATTACTCAATCATTGCGTAATATTAGTAAAAAAATGAACATAATCTCTTCCCAGTCTTAAAAAAGTAATGCGTAACATAATCCGTTTGGTTAAACTTCCAATTTTCGACCAGAATGGACAATTTACATAAAAACGCCATCACTTGGAATATAAAAATCGTAAAAGTGGAAAATGCCTAGAGATATGCGTGGAAAAATTCTCGGATAACGTGTCTACTGTTTTACGACTTTTTAAGCCTCTTTTTATTCGATTGCCATGCACTCATTTAACACGAAATATGAAACTTGACTTGCTCAAATTTATTGCGTTGGGTTCTTCAACAATCGATCGTTTAATTTACTTTTTCAAGAACTTTTCCAACTTTTTCTGTGTTTCCTTTTCCTTGATTTCCTGCTCTATTCTAGCCAACTCTAAAGGAGACAGGTTTAGGTAGGAAGAGGAACATGCTTCCAATTCCTTTCTTCGCAAACTGTTTCGCCTAATTTTGACCAAATCATACAAATACCCATACACAAAAATGCAAATACTCACTTTGAGCTTTCATCCGATGAAAACCTTCTCTCATATGACTGCAGCTTGAACAGTTCTTTGTTGATCAGCATGGAAATGCGATTTTGGCTGTTCGTTTTCAGATCCGGATTCTCGCCTGGCGCCAAAGGAATCACTGATGAAGGCTGTAAAAAGCAAGTTTTATGTACAAAATATATTGAATTAACCGAATTGGAAAATGCATTCAAAAATACCCACCGCATTTTATTTACCTTCACTCTGGGGGTCTTTGGTGGCGGGAGCGGAATTTTATATCTTTCCATGCAGGCTGGACAAGTGGTTTGTTTCAGGTGAATTCTGATGTTTTCGCTATCTGAGATGCTGACTTTTCTTTTATTGAATTTCGGATCTGGAGAAGAACTATAAAAGAATCACATACAGCTTAATTTATTGACGCCTTTCTTTGCATTCCACGTTAGTTGAGATTTAGTAAAAGTGCCGCTCTGACTAAACCGAAATGCTGAGTACGACAGTCGTGGAACGAGAATAATTTGAATATTGAAACAAGTCATAACTTAACTGGCTCTGATCCACACATGTTTATTTGTTAAGCCGTTTCTGAAATTTTCGCGCTCAAAAATTAACTTAAGGCAAAAGTTACCAACTAAAGTTTAATTAAGCAACCTTAAAGGGCCTCATTTTACTGCGACTCGCGTATCAAATAAATGAAAGTCGTAACCAAATAAATTGTGAGCCATTATCGAGTATTCCAGTAGCCAATCAATTTTTATTAGTAACTACTTACTTTGCTTTTTCTGGTTCATTTGCACTGCATTGAGCAATTGATTCCTGTTGATTGTCTTTCTTTACAGTTTCATCATCTAATTCTTCCATTATAGCGGCAACATTTTCGGGAATTTTGATTGGTTGAATATTTGGACGTTCGATGATATTAGCTGAAAATTAAAAGACGCGTTTTAATCATTTAATCAGCAATAAGTTAAAACTTGTCAGTTTTCCAGTGCAATATTGAAAAATTATTCATACAAAAACTCTAATGTTTATGAAATGAGTAGATAAATGCTTAAAATGTGGAAAATTTAAAATAGTTCTCTCTCTTGAATTGCATGTTTTCAACTGAATTTGAGAAACCAAAACAATAATTTTATTCGAGATTAATGGAAAAACTCTTAAAACACTTACATTGAACCGAACTTCTGCGAGACTTGGAAGATGAACTTTGGCTCGATCTTCTTGGCCGATGGTAGTAGTCGGTACTTTCGTCTAACAGAGGAAAAAGCTAAATTATACAGCGTGTTGCAAAGCTCCAGTAACAATTAATGCAGATAATCGACTGCATTTTTTGCATTTGTTTTCAGGGAAAGAAAATCTGCTGAGGTTTCATTATTGGGTAGATTAAACATGAATATTTTAATTGAACTACCTTCATCATATTCGACTTTTTTTGCATTAGCTGCTGCATTCCGATTTTTCTCCACAAAATTCGTATCCACTCGCCTCCCCAATTTCTTGTCAGGATCCGAAGACCTCGGCTGCTTACTCGAGTAGAGCCCTTGAAGAATTTTGGAATTTTCCCCTAAGAGGCAAAAATAGTCTCATTTCGCTCAAATGCAAATCTCCCGTATCAACCTTCTTCAAGTTCCTTCCTTGACATGTTCCTCCTCCAAAACTTGTTGGCAGTTAAATTCCTCCTATACCTAACACTCATTTCTTCTTGGGCGATTTTTTCGGGCAATTTCACTTCATTTCTAGCCGGCAGTTGAAGAACATTTTGCCTGATTTGCTTCACCAAAGTTTCAAGAGTGCCGGTAATGGTGCGAATTTCCAGCTGGATGGATTTCACTCGAAATGGGGCGGTGAGAATGAAGGATTCGCAACTGGAATTTAAATGATCATGCTTCCGAAGAGTTTGACATTGATGCATATTTGTTAGTGAATTATTGCAGGTATTAACTTTACCTGTTTATCAAAGGACAGTTCATCAACTCGTCCAGAAAATCCAAGATTTTTTTCCGAGTAAGGAGCTTCTTCAAGCAGGAAACATCGCTGGCCATTTCAAAAATTTCGTAATTTTTATCGGGATTTGATTGTCGCAGTGCATTGAGCACGGTGTTTATCAGTTCCCGAACTCTTTCGTTTAGTAGGATTCTGGTAGCTAACCGACCGTCGTTTATTAAGTTTTTGCTTTCAGTTTTATTGCCAAACTCTGTCGTTTCTGCAGAAAACCTTTGAATAATAAGGGTTTTTGAGTGTAACAGTTTAACACTTACCGATAGTATAGATTGGTAACATGTTGGCCATTCTTTGCTCCTGATGGATATGCTTCCTTTTGGATCTTTCCAGCAAACGTTCCAGTGGCGAATGCACTTTGCACATGTAGGCCAGTTTTCGTTTGGGCGGGTTCAAGCTTTCGGTTCGATGCGCCGAAATCAAGTGCAGGCACAGGATTTTTTCTTTGTCAATTTCCTCGTTAGTGAACAGCATATTGTGAATTTTCTATTAAGGGAAAGTTGGTTAATATTGATGGAAAACAACAGTATTCGGGTTTTAGCTTGCAAATATTTTGTGTGGGTGGCATGGCGAATGATATAAAAATTAATATAAAAGTATTCAAAACTTTTATTTATTTTCGTGACTGCGTGTAGTTGTTATTGTATGCTTTTCCTTCCTGCGCTTCAGTCAAAGTGTAAAATAATTTTTTTATATCGTTTATTTCATAACGTTTCGGCGAGACAACAGCGCAATCACCAGATTTAAAATTCATACAAACTCATAATTGGAAAACATTAGATTCTTTTAGGTCTTTGCTTATGTAATTTTAAAGTTACCTGAAAATCTACATTCGATGTTGTCCTACTCGTATCACCAACCGATGTAAAACTCTCGTTCATATCAATGGAGGGCACAAAATACTTACTCAAAATCTAGAACAACCCACGCAAACAGTTGATGCATTCAATAGACTATCATCCACTTACTTCGTCCGAGGTGTAAGCATTGGCGCTATCCGCTGAAATGCTGCTTTTTGAATACTTTACTTTAAAGCATTGCTTGTCGTTTTGCAGCATTCGCATTGCCGTTAATTTCTCTTTGTCTAAGTGCCCTAATTCGATGTTTAGATTGTTGTCTTCAGCCCGATTTTTCACCATTGCTACTGAAAGTCTACTGTTCCTTTCCAGTGATTTAGTCTGATAAATTACCATCTTGTGTTCACGATTTTTTTTTGTTGAATGACTTCGGATTTAATGTCAGTCGAAACAAACAAATACATTTCTACACCATGTATTTAAGAGCTGGTGGTCATTCTACTTAAGGCTGCTATACAAGAGTAGGATTTCTTCACCGACGGGCCGTTAATCTCTGAACGAATCCCTTGAATGGCCAAATGATTTTCCTTCGAATATTAGATAAAAGCGAATTTTTAGTCGGTCTAGTTAAGTCGAAAAATACAAGTCCAATTACCTAGTCAACAGTGGATTAAATATATTTAATCACTACTAACATTAATAATTGCATTAAAAATTACTTAAAAATTTTATACAAGGTAAAATCACTTTATAAACGGAAATAGTATAAAGTATAATCTTATTCATTAAGTAGGTGCTAATACCTATACATGAGTGGTTAAAATAAAATTAATTAACGAGATTTCTTTGAAATTCGATAAAAAAAGTTTTTAGATAAAGTGTCCTAAATCGGTTGAGCAGTTGCAAAGTTATATCCGCCAGCCTGGGCAGAACTTTGCGGAACTGTCGTTCGATCAATGTCCTCATAAGATTCAGTCCGGGTTCCAGTGAACATGTTCGGAATATTTCCTGAAAAAATGTGAATTAAATGTAATCCAGCTCGGCATGCATTACTAACATGAGAATGTACGCTATCTATTTAGGTCATGTAAATTAATATTGGGAGTATTTGCGATAAAAGGAAGGAACTTTTATGTATTTTTGTGCTTTTGCTAAAATCTTCCACCGTTCGTGGTTTTTGCGCAAACGTTTTTTTTCTGTTTTCTGACCCAATAACATTGACGACTCAAAACTCCAAACAGAATACACCAACAAATGAAAACAATTTCTCCAGAAACACTTAAATATGTTTAACTTGTCTTGAACCCAGTGGATTAACGACAACTATTCTCAATATTTACCTGTACTACCACCTCTTTCCTCCAAATTTTTAATTAAAACAAAAGTGGAAATTGGTCGGGCTAATAAATGAAGCACAGCCATCGCTGCCGAGAATTTCGCTGCTGCTCCTGCAAATGCAAAGTTTTATCCATCAACAGTCCTTTTCATCCCTTTTTTGCAGCGCTTACCACTGCTGTATGAAGGGAAGTTCATAATCAGCAACAAAATGTCCAATATAATGGAAACTCCATTTACAACAATTGCCTGAAACAATTAGTATTACACATTTTGGTGGGCATTTAAAGTTTGTTTCTTACCAACTGAAGCGGTTCTTGAAGCTGACTGTGGAAAATGCTCCACAGCAGAAGGAATATTAATATACAGTTGTAAAACAGGTATGCATTGCTGGCCCAGAATCCCATACAACTAAGGGAAATGAAAATGAAATGGGCCAGAAACACTACCTGGAAAAATAACGGGTGTTTTACATAATTTGAATGCGGACAAAGAGTTACATCCTTACTTTGGCATTGAAATTTGGTATTTGTTGCGTTAAAGCTGGCATTTTATGCAAAAGCGAGCACAGGCACTAAGTATTCGCTAAATACCTCTGATAAGTGATTTTAAGCAAGTTTATGCAGCTGACTTTACTATATAATACATTACTTGTTCAATAATAAGGAATATCAAAAAATAAACACAAACATAATTGATTGCAGTTCTTGTCAAAAATGACATGATAATCACAGATCACAGAGGTTGTACTCTGTGATCTGTGGTTAAATAATATGTGCGACAAAGCAGGATGCTGTCGACGGTCTGTTGGTTGCACTCGCACTTGTTTGAGTATGACTTTCAAAAAATCAATGTCTATAAGAATAATATTTAATCAGTAAATATTTACACCGAGTAGTAATCATGTGATCGATTTGTCTCACACATCCATAAACCATTTCATTATTGATCTAAGTAGATACGGATTTTGTGATGTGCTAATCTCAGGCACCCCCAAGACCGGTTTAGGACTGCCTGTTCTTATCAGCCTGAAAAACACACCGAACACCTGCACTTTATTTTGTGCCAAATGTAAAATGCCAAGGCAAGGGAAAGTACATGTTTCTGGAGTGTTATTTTCAGGCTAATGAGAGCTGATGGGCTCAAAAGGAGTCCTACCGATTTATCTGCGGTTTTGATAAAAAATTATTTATTTACAACCGAAAGAGTTAGAATTTTGTGTTTTACTCTATTAATTAATTAGTGTTGATTTGGAGACATTGGAAAGTTTCGGACTGCCGACATTATCAGGGACTTTCTGTAAATTTTCCAAAAGATTTATCTGCAGTTACGCTCTTACTTTAAAAAAATATTTATTTGCAGCTTTATACTAAATGTTTCCATTACCAGGCAGACCTTAGGAAGTGCTGTAGAAACAAAAATCAATGATGATAATTACAAATAATTTTAAATAAATGTATCCTTTCTGGTTGACTTAATTGGCGTCATAAAATAATAATATTAATAGGGAGAAAAGACCGAATTGTATTCATGGCCTTTAGCAATTACTTCCTGTTTATTTTGGACCAATGGAAAGTCAAATGATTACACTCTGGCTCATTAAAATAGTCATCACTGTGCTGAAATATTCATTTTCACATTTAGTGTTGGAGCGCGCTGTAGATAATATTTAATATAAAGCAATAAAAATGTATTGAATGTCAATAATAATTTTTAGAAAAATACGAATGAATCGTTAGCTTAATGCCTAAACAAAATTTTACATTTTCACATAAATGATTGTTAATTCAAACTCAGACGAGCAGGTTTTGTGATGTTGCTGGAAAAACATCCGTGTAAGTTGATTATATTCCAACGATTTTCAGCATTTTCATTATATGAATACTGAAAATTATTAAATTGTTTCTGAGTTTCGAATGGTAAAGACGCAAAATGTTCAAGTTAACTTGGCGAACTTTAATTGAATTTCGCGAATTTTTCAATAAGCAAAGATTTTTTCAAAAATTTCAGTCTTTCGTCTTCGCGCTGTCTTTTACTTATTTTTATAGTTTCATTCCAAAAATTCGTTACTTTTTATGGTTTTCAACAAGTTCCATGTAATTGACTGTATTTTATTCGCTTAATTTTAATTTTGCATTTGCTTGTTACATACGTTAACGCGTTGAATATTTAATCCCGCTTAATTTGAACTTTTGGTTCATTTAATTCATAATCAACGTATGCATTTCAGACACGCTGCTACCCGAAATTTGTTCATTTTTGATGATCTCCGATCGTATGATTCTTTTAAACTGCATTTTCGCAATATATGACATAATAGCTGTTAGTGTGGATAGCTATTATTTTACAACGGTGTTTAGTTGGACGTTCTTTAAGCAATATGGGGGTTCCTACTTTGCTCACTGTTATGTAAGGAATTTTTATAATAATATCAAACGATCCTTTAAAGTGTACACAATTCAGAAAACAGTGTTTAAGAGAGACTAATCGTCGTTACTTTACTCTCTAATTACATTTTCTTAAGATTACAGATATATTTCTTGTTGTTTTTTTAGGGTTTACTCTTAAATGTTCTTCACCCTGTCGTAATCAAAATGTTTGCCGGACAACTGCGAATGTTCGAGCGCTTATTTATAGTGGACACGTCGAACATAAGTGATCAAACTGCTGGCTTGTTAGTCTATATCAAGCATAAGATTAACGCTATGTTTGTGGCGATGATAGTGGCATCATTAGCAACTACAGGGGTCAACGTATACTTTTGGTGCCAGGACCGCGACCAGATAATGTTGACATCTAAGCTATTAACCGACTATTTCTCTCCTGGTAAAATTCCTGCAAAAGAATAGACTATTTATTTTAGGATTTTTCACATACTTTTTCTTTAATGAAACCTTTTTCGCATTCTCTGATGATTTTTGAGCTTTCCTCCTGCACTGTTTTGTACTAAAAAAACATGTGCATTTAGAGGACTGGCAGCATTTAATTTGCCCTTCCTTGAAATATTCGCATGATTTTCAGGAACTGCTATATTGATATACATATTTTCACTTAATATGCATTTTAGGTTCAATTATTGTAAAATTGTTTAACTTCATAGAGACGTTCGCCGATATAATTGCCTGTATACCCACTGTGACTATTCCTGCTTACTTTATCTACCTGTTTTATCATGTCGAAGTTCAATTGTTGTTGCTTACCGATTACGTGCGATCATTACACAACGAACATGAACGAACATTCACTAATAAAATGGGACTTTCGACTGAAAATTATCATAGCATTTCAAACAGCGTGAAGAAAATCGTCAAATGGCATTTGGAGATTAAACAGTGAGAATCAATCTTTTTAATGTTTCTCAACTTCGAAAATGTTTCTTTCATTTCCAGGTACAACTACGAGATATTCGCAATTAATCAAATGGTGCACTTTCTGTACATTTGCACCGGATTATTAGTGTCGATTTTTTCGCTATTTTCACTCTTTTCCGTAAATATTCCCTATGAAAATACTGTTAATGTAAGTATGAAGATGCTTTGTATTTAAACATGGAAAAACTATTTCAGCCGAATGGAAATGCGCTTCAAATAGGAATAACATTAATATCATTTGCTTTGTTTGCTTACATTCCATGCGATACTGCTGAAGATTATGAGGAGTTTGTAAGTTCGGTTTAAACGCTTTTTTTTGGCTAGTGACAAACGGGAAGCCTTGTATTAGTATAACTGAATAAACTTGTGAATTATAGAGCATGCATCTGTCTGAAGCGATTTACGATCTGGATTGGTACAACTGGGACGTGAAATGCCAAAAGTTGTATTTGATGTTAATAACGCATACTACAAAAGGTATACAAGTAACGATATTTATGCTATTTGGGATCAATAAAGAGCTCCTGAAAAAAGTAAGCAGTTATTAAATTTAACTTTAATCTTCACACATTCTGTTTTTTTGAATTTCAGATTGCCAAACTCCTTTACCCGGTAATGAATCTCCTATATTCAGCTAGCAAGTCCAATTAGAGACTAATCACAATTAAGAAAAATTTAACGATTAACTTGGTTGTGTAGTAGTTGAGCCAACAAATTGAATAAAATGCACTTTCGAACTAGTTTAGTAATTTTATATAATTCACAAAAACGGAGTTTTAAATGACAATATATAATCATTAAACTATTGCCTATAAAACACATCACGCAAAAAGAAACATTGGCGGCTAAAGGCCATTTACGCCTAGAGATTTGTTATGCGAAAATCCGTCATTTAGCTTTCATTGGTACAAAAGAGATGAACATTTTCTTTGCCATTCAAATTTTCAGCAACATTTGCGCTAAAAATAAGAAATATTATCATCACAATGAAAGCCAGATGACGGATTGTGTTGCCCTCATACATTCGTTGCCTGCAAATGTTTGTGAACGCATTCCTCTTTATTAATTAGATGAGTGGTCTTGTTGACCCATTGCATTAATGAAGAAAGATCACGCGCCCAATCGTTCAACACATCGCTTGGATCCTTGGTTTGTTGAAAGTGTACTTCCTGAAATCGAACAAAGTGGACATTAAGGCCGGTACAAATGCGGAAAACGCATATGATGCGTACCCCAGCAGGTCGATCGGTTTTTGCTTGGACGGTCTTGCTGACGACCAAATTGGACAAAAATTCTTCAGTATCACCAGGAGACAGATCCAACAGTTCTGCAATCCTGGATATCTTGACGCGAGTGTAATATTTAGCCATAACTCTGATATTGTGTTCTACAACTCGCGATCTAGAATTAAAATAGTGGGCCTTAATTTTCAGGCAACTTTAATTGCTGATTATTTACTTCAAATCATCCCATCTCTTTACGGCTTGTTCATCGCCACTAAATACTGATGTGGATTTCAGCTCTTTTTCATACAGTTCACACAACCCTGACCATTTGATAAGCTCGGGAGTGGTGAACAACTTCAATAAAGACTTGTAGAGAGGAATTTCCTCCAAAATCTTATCAGCTAGGACTCGATGAGTTAAATCAGCCTGAAACAAAGTGGTTTTTTAGTTTTTTATTTGAAAATCCTCTGGTTTCTATCTGTACCTGTTCGTTGTCGTAAGGAGCCAAAATCAGGTACAGAACAACCGCCTTAGCACTCGATTGCCTTTCACTTTCATCGGCTTGGATGCTTGAGGTGTTCAGCACTGCCCTATAGTGCTTGCATGTTGCCAAGTAAGATCCTTCATGTTGGTCGAGCTCCATCATCAATCTGCACATTTATTTAAAGCTTTGCAACCAATCCAAACAAGGAAATGGAGGCACTAACCTGTAGTACTTCAATTTCAGTTCCTGAGTGCCATCATCCTCAAAGAACTTGGTGTTAATTTTCTTGGAAATAATTTGCGTTCTGATATAATCCTGCTTCGCTAGACACAATCTCATCTGCTCCAATATGAGCTCGACTTTTTCCTTCTTTTCCATTGATCCATAAGTTTCCACTTGCAGCTCTTGAATAATATTGGCTGCCTCTTGGATATTTCCTTCTCCTTCACGGATTTTCGCTAATCTGTGCGTAAGCCGAGCACGCTCAACCTCTACGTAGATCTTACCCTCTGTTACTTGTCTGGAACATGGAAAAGACGATGAATTCATACAATTAAACATATCGATTGGTCGATCAGAACATATATTTTTACTTCAATCTCCGTTACATCTATATCTGGTTATATGTATATGTGCTTACCTCAAAGTATCTATCAACTTGACCATTGCTTCCTGATCAGGAGTTTCATCAACATACGTGCAACATTCTTGCACCATTTTTGTCACAGCTTGTTTCAACTGAGATCTGCGTTTGGTCAGCATGATGATATGATCGTTTAAGGCTGTCCAGTTTTTTGCCTCTTTGCATATCTGACAAATTGCAACTGAAACAGACGAAAGTTCAATTTTTTTTAAGTTTGGATATAAAGAAAGTGGTGGAACTTACCCAGAACTCTTCCAGTTGAGATCATATCAGCTCCAGTTCTGGTTTGTTTCTCCAAGGTCAGAAGCTGCTCAAGAGCATCGTGCAATTTTCCAGACTTTGCAATTTTCTGGCACTCTGGGATTTTCTCGTCGCAAGTGGAACTGTAGTCCACTTCCATTTTCACAATTTTTCCGGAATCTGTTGCTATTGACTCCATCATGCTGCAACCAAGTAAGTAGAATAAAGAATGCAAGATCTCGCCAGTTGAACGTAAATTGAAAGGACAGTAAGCACATTTAATGGGAGTAGCTGCAGAGCTTTCATAGTTAAATACTTACGTGGTAGTTTCCTCACTAAATTAATTTGTTTTTACAGAATTCCAAAGGCAAACAGCAAGTCATCCGAAATCAACAGAAAGTTTGACTTTGACACTGTTTGACACTTTGAGTGAAGACACAGATTACAGAGGTGTTAACCCCTGTGATCTGTGGAGAACGTATTGACATATTTCAACAATTCTCTAACCCAACTTCTCTGAATAATTACATCAAACATGTTTCTATACTTATATAAATAATTAGTTGCACATACACTGAACAAATGGTAAACTAATGCCATATCATGGGTGGTGAACAGTCGCATTTATCTGGCATTGACATAGAGCAAAAAGCCATTGAGGTATCCGATTTCTGGGCCCAACATAACGCGACTGTTAACAATGCAGGCACTCTATCCAAATTGTCAATATTTGTGGGCGATTTGCTGTTGATTGAGCCCTTCTGGAAACCCCAAACCCCGCTGGAAGGTTTCAGCAAGGTACAAGCAAACGGTCCCAAGTTTGCGGTTACAGATTGACTAGATTGTTTTAGAATTGCAGAACCTGATGATTTATCGTCACCCGTGTATCATACGGTACGTTTCGCAATGGAAAAAAGGCTGCAAATTGTATGTAGCTGTGGAGCAGGTGACGCCCCTGTCTCAAGTGATACCCCATTTGAATACCATTGAAATTTGCCTTGGCTTGTACTCTATATTGAAAGCCTTATGTTTTCTACATGAAAAGGCCCATGTTTCGCACAACAACATTTGCCTGGCGTGCATTTTTGTTAGTCGCGATGGCAGTTGGAAATTGGGCGGCATGGAATATTTGTGCCAATACGGCAGTTTAACAGAAGAGTACTTGCAAAAGTCCACAGTTCACAGGTACACTAAAGCAGTGGATACAAGCGAAGCTCAACATTTGAAGCAATGCCCCGAAAGGAAAGATTCTGTCGATGTGTTTGCCTTTTGCACTTTGGTGACTGAATTGCTGAAGAACAAACCCAAAGGTGAGGCCCATCTGCGCCTAGTGAAGTTATCTGGCACATAACTCAATGCAATTTCTAGATGAAGTTCCCAATCTGGAGTCGTTTAAAGACTTATCTACTCGCGTGGTGCAAGAGTTGAGCATAATGCAAAGACCTAAACCGCGAGACTTATTGGAGCACGACTTTTTCAAGCACAAGTTTATACAAATACACTCGTTTCTCGTGGAGCTGCCCATGAAATCTAATGCGCAAAAATCGGAATTTTTCACTCAGTTGAAGGCGGATCTGGAGGGTCTGGATGAAGAGATGGTGGCCAGCCAGTTGGGCGGCTTACTTGTATCTAGAATGGTGCTCATGCATCAGGCAGCTCGGGACTTTTTGCTGCCTTACATTTTGGTACCCAAGAAAAGTTAGTGTTATGTGCTATAACAAACATGATTCAAATGAATCTTAATGATAAACGTTTCAAAAAATTGGAAGAAATCCACCCACTACATTTTAGGTGAAAATGGGGCTTTGTTTTCCCTTGAGCTATTCAAGCGACACATAGCGCCTAAACTGCTCAACATATTCCGTGTAAGAGACGTCCAAATTCGACTGATTATTCTGGAATATTTTCCCCACTTTCTGGAGTGCTTCTCGAAAGAGGAATTGCTTGAGCCGATTCTACCAGAGGTTGGCAATTTTTAATTATGCCCGAAGTTATGTCGAACCAAATTTTTTCTAGCTTCTAGTGGGAATCAAAGACACAAACGAGGAACTAGTGGCTGCCACGTTGCGCACTCTCTCAGATTTGGTTCCGGTATTGGGAGCGGCGACTGTAATTGGCGGAAAACGAGCTAAGCTGTTCAACGACGGCCGCCCGAACGAAGGCAGTTTCCTTAGGGAACAGCCTGGGAAAGTCGAAGAGCGTAGTGATGTTACTAGAGGTGAATTTATCAGTACGCTTCGCCAGCTACCAGAGCGCCAAAGGCCAGATGGGGAGGAAGGCGAAACTTCCAATGAAGAGATTGAGCAGTCGGCAGATGAATTGCCCGGAGACAATTGGGAGGAATGGGATACTGACAATGTTGTCGAACCGACCGAATCCGCAGCAAAATTCTTAGTCAGTCTGAATGATACAGCAAGAGAAACCTCCACTAACAGCAAAGCAAAGCGTCCATTGGATATCACGGAATTGGATATTAAATCGAAAGCTGTGAGGGAATCATCCGATATCGACTTCTTCGAAGATATGGAACCAGTCATTCAAAGTGATAGCAAGTTTCTGATAGGGAACAATGCTACGGTGATAAGTAGCAAACTTACTATTGAAGCGCCAGATGTGAACGAAGAAGGATGGGATGACGATTGGGAGTGAGCTGATCAAATGCTAGTTTTGTCATATAGTTGACGTTGGAAAATAAAAAGTATATCTATCGAATTAACATCACAAAGAGTCATAAAGTAATCGTTTTACAACGAAGTACTTAATTTTAAACTCCAACGTAAAGAAAACGAAGTCAGAAATCCAGAGTTTGCCAAGCCCCAAACGTTGAATGCGCTTGTTAGTAGCTGTTGATGTGATAAAAATTCGCTCCAAATGCCCATTTTCATTGCAAGCAGCAAAGAATGCAAAGAGATCATTGGAAAACACCGAAATCCAGCAACATCGACATCCTCTCTAAAAATCAGGCTTTGATTGTTGGACTATTTTCCGGGCGCAGTTGTATATGGAAGGCGAGAAAGTTCTTAGGTCAAAAGATTCAGATAAACACATACAGATTGATTTTTTTGATCAAGATATAATTGGGTATCCAGAACCGAAAAGTTTGAAAACATCGACGATTTTTTTGTCAAAAATATCAATCTTTTAATTTTAGTGGCCAGGATCGTCACAAAGACGTAAATTGAAGCTAAATCATTTTATAAACATGTTTGTAATGTCCACCTAAAAAAGCAAAGCCAGAAAACTAACGTAACCGAAACACGCATAATTCTAAATCAGCCAAATTTTCAGTAAGCTATTGCAATTTCCGGTTTGTCACCGCTTCTGTTAGTCGCTGTTGAAAAAATCTGCAAAAGACAACTATTAATAAATATATGCAAATAAATTATGAAAATCATTAGGAAGGCTGCCGATCTTGAAAATATTCTTACACTATCGCGTATCGAAATATCCGCAATGGACTGGCTTGTATTGGCCACACGTTCAGTCGCCATCGTTTTAATATTATTATAAGCCTGTGGATGGTTTTTCATTACTTCCCAAAAGTGATTTCGATCCAGCTTGAAAAGTTCGCAGGCAGTTACCGCGATAACATTTGCCACCTTAAAGCGTGATTTGAATTTATTTATACTGAAGCGTGCGTCGATTCGTAAGTGTTTAGTTTTACCCGTTTGATATTCACAACTAGTGCAATCTCCCCAAAATGTGATCCATCCCTCAAATAGCAAAGTTCTTTATTATCAGTGGTTGTAACTACAACTGTGCCCGCGAGTATGAAAAACATGCAATGACCTGAAAAGAGTGTTGAATTTCAAAAATTCTGAAATTTCATTTTATTTACCTGTTGTTCCTGATTTTATAATAACGTCTCCCGGTAGGTAAATATTGGAAACCAAGCTGGCTTTAATTTTATTTAAAATTATCACTGGGCAGTTTTCGAATAGTTCCACCTTCTCGATGCTTTTCTGGGTCATTGTCAGTAAAATTTCGCGTCTCAGAGCCACAGACGTTGCGTTACGTATAACGGATTCCTGCAATCAACGCAAACTGAATTTACCGAAAAAAGTGTTTGTAAACACACTTTGTAAAAATGCCCTTGATATCTGAAATCCAGGTACAAATAAATTCGCTCTCGTAACGACATGGGCAGAGCTCGATACCGCATATAAGCCTCCGTTGCCCCATAAACGGCACTTTGTTTGTAATCTTTGCTAAAGAACTTTAGCCAAATTTCCGCTCCCTGAAATCAGTAAGTTAATGTATGTGATAATAATAACATTAACGTACGTGAATGAGCATGATCAAGTGAAATACGAAGCCGATAATTATGAATATCATGGGACACACGGTTTCATGCATTTGCTTGAATACGGGAGGTCCGTAGCTGACCATCATCAGCATTTTTACCACATGTTCGGAATGCTTTAGCACAGAATCCTTTATGTATCCAGGCATAAATTTCTGAAATTAAAACGCCTCAATTAGTCCTGTTCTTATAGAAGCAAACATTAACAAGCTGACGCAAAATTGAAAAGAAATCAACTTGATTTATTTAGGCACTACTTATTTAACTTACACTTTGGCGTAAAGTGTGTTTTTAGACAAAAGAGAACTTGTAGAAACAATTGCAAATTTTTTTATTTTTTTTCACGCCTAAAAGAGATGGTAGATGTTATTGGTTGCTACTTTTATTCAGGATAAATTCCTTTATGCACCATGTCTGTTGAGCTTTTCTCATCTGGAATTATTAACACAAAAAAGTTATCAAAATCATTAAAAAAAGTTTCGCTTAAATCGTCTAGAAAATATTGCGAAAAAAGCCATCCCAGAATTATTTCTTCGAGGCTTTCACGTTTCTTTAAGAAGCACATTTTCGGGTGTGTTTAGGAGAACTTGAAAATATTTTCATAATCATCGCTGCTATTTCCGGAAACTCGGTATCACGCGGGAATTTTTAAAAATTTTCACAGTTTCTGCGAAGTTTCTACAAACCACAACGTTTTTTGAAACTTACCATAATAGTAAATAAAATATAGACAGAAAATACCACAGCTGTGAGAGCATTCATAATGAGCCTGATAGTTTGGTATGCGTAAATGCTCAAACCGAAATATAAACGCAATTGCCTCAAAATCCGTAAACACCAGATATACCTAAAATCAATAAAATTGATCTAGAACCTCAAATCAGTTAAGCATTGCTTGAAACTGGAGAGTTTCAGGCTTTTAGGCCGTCGTGGAAAAGAATTTTCGCCGTCGACGTACCTCTGAAGCCACTTTTGCTCGCCAAACGCCAGGAGAAATTATTTTCACGACCGCCTGAAAGTCCGTGAAACTCGCCAGTTTCTAAGTTAGAAACTATAAAAAATACACTTGTGTTTTACCTGGCGTAATTAGCTGCTATAAATATGGGCGTTATAAATCTGGTCGAATACGTTTTCAAGTCGTAGTTGAAACCTAAACGGTTCACAGTTTCGGTTCTTAAAAGTTGCGGAAGAATGGCAAGTATATCAGTAATGAAATACGATTGCAAGTAATTCAGCACTATTAGCCGCCTTTTCATATAAACAACATTTTGGCTGTTATCATAATATCCAGTACACAAAGAAGTCAAGATCAACAGGATGTGCAATACTGGAAATTACTTTAGAAATTACTGTTGCCCAAGTAAACAGATGCATCAAACCATTAGAAGGGTAAAAAATGGCTCGAAGTGATTGCTTGTCGTCGTGGAAAACCATTAAAATTATTGGATTAGCAATGCCCTTGAATGCAAAAACGAAAAACATGAACATTTCGAAGTAAAACGTAAACATGCTAAGAGGATGGATTATGTGGTAATACAAGAGTAATTGGCGCGTTTCTTCCTCCTTCCGGCGGTAGAGTGACGGAGCGAAGTATTTCGTATAAGGGTGTTTGGAGCTGATCATTAATGCTCTAAAATCAAGTAACATTATGAAAGACTTTTTGTGAAAAACTACATGGTAAAGACCTTCGAATAGAGCGCCTTAAACTGACCCATACTCCCGCTTCAATGTACCGTGTTAACACATCTGTGGGTTCGCCTGGGAGGGTGCAGTGATGGTATTTCGTGTCTTGTCTATATTTATTGACTGTCACATCTAAAAGCCAAAAAACTTAGAGAAATAGGTTGCATAATGCTAAAGAATCAGCAAAATTATTAATATATAACATTTGCAACGTTTCCATTACTAATTTTCGCAATTAACTTTCGAGGGTTGCTTCTTTACTTACCATTACCAAAAGGTGAAAATTTATTAGAGTGTAACTCGGAGGGAGACTTTGGCACAGAGTGCGGTACTTGTTGAGGCAACTCTCTCAATTTACTGCCTAAAACGAAACTTCTAAATCCTTGTAATAAATTCACAATTTTGCTCTTACCATCCCTGAGATGCGTTTTATATTCCGTATGATGCATTTTGCTTTCTTTATGATGATGCGACTTAGAGCGCAGCACCGCGGAACTCCTGGAGTTCTTCTGCATGATAGAAGTTCCAGGGTTGTTCTGTTCGGGCATTACTTCTCTAAATGTAATAAGCTTTTATATCTAGAACTTCTTAAGCACACCCGAAAATTCAGCTGCTTCACACAAAGTAAGACTTATTTAATGTGACATGTGCCATAGAAAGCGGATTTTTTGCTAGGTGATGAACAATGAAATAAATTGCCCTTCCGAACAGGTTCATGTTCAGCACTCATAAAATAAAACCAAATGTATATGTTAAAAATATTTATTGAACATTTTTCTGTTAACAATACATAGAGGTTTAAATGCAACGTTATAGCGAAAATACAAAAAATATACATAATTATAAATGTTGTAAGTTCAAATAGTGCAGCTCCTTTTCGCAAAATTAACTAGAATCCAAAACGGGAACGTTTGAACTTACGTAAGGCTGCTTGCTATCTTGAATGATAGATCAACAGTTCAGTAGTGGAGTTTGTACCAAAATTCCGCAGAATATTCCATTTTAACGGCTACAAACCACTAGAGAATACCGCATGTTGCAACGAATCGCCTACGAATCAACGCAACTAACTTATGAAGAATACATCATTAACAAAAAACTGTCCAACACTGAATATAAGTGTAAATAAATAAATGTAAGAACTTACTAAACGACAAAAACAAGACTTAAAAATTAGAAATAAAAAGGTTTTGAACTATTATTATAGGAATATATTTTTGAGCCTCGAGTGATATAAACACATTACACGAAGTGTATAAGTTAATATCATGTTCAAATTATTTTTTTATCTATTTAAGGCTACAACTGGGGTCATTTGCAATCGGTAGTGTTAAGGTTCTGTTGTTCTTCTATTTTATAAAAAGTGAATTAATTAAAAAAATAAATTTTTCTGATCTGAATGTAACTTGCAATCAGTTATGGAAGAAACTCTCTCGACTCGAGCGCTTCTGAGTGAATTGCTGAAATATTTTCTCAAATAATTGTAATTCCTGCCAGTTGTAAAAGCTCAAACTTGACCATGTTCAATCACTAAGAATACGAATAATAATAATAATAATAAACATTATAACGACGAAAAAATTTAGCTTATTGTTTACGATGGTATACATTTAGTTTGAGGAGTATAATATAGTATACTTACAAATACACGAGCGTTCCTTAAACAATTACAAACATAAAGTTCTAATGTAAAAATACTGTGTGTCGATTCTATTTCGGGTAGGAAAGTCTATTGCAGCACTGTTTTTTCTTTCTTGAACGAAATGCGGTTCTATTATACTTATATTTATCTAAAACAATTCACTAAATATTCGCAAGATTCTATGGAGGATCTAGAAAAGGTTCTTGTTTTAGAAAAGAAGTACTAGGGTGATTTTCGGCAGTGATCGGTAGTAGTAGTCTGATTTCCATCAAATAAAAATGCTGAATAAAAGTCTCGGAAACACTTTAATACAAAGTATCTTTAGCTAGACTGCTTGATCATCAAGTACCTTTCGCAGCTCCTTCCATTTTGTCAATTAATTAAAAACTGTTTTCTTAGTATTTGACCTAAACAATCCTGGTACTCTTGTCTACTATTATTAGTTCAAGAACTTTTTAAACACCAATAATAGTAGAATAATTAGTTAAATTAGATTTAAACACCTTACTAACTATGCAGTAATATAAGGCTATTTATTATTCAATAAAAACGTCCCTTCTGTCTTATTTTGGAAAGTGATGCCCGATGTTTTTCAACTGGCCTAGTTTTCACTATCAATTGTAAATATAGAAGTAATAATGCCGAGTAACATTAGTAAATATTATGATTTTTATTTTAATTCAGAAGTTGACATTCTCAAATGGTTTGGAAAGTGTTCAAGTCCGGGTCGCTGGGACAATTACCTATAATCGAGAGTGTACAATGCTTACGTATAATAGTTTTTAATTATGCATTTTTCATTTAGATGATATGTTCACTTGACGTACAACAATTATTTAAAACTAATTTTTCTCTATAGGGTTGTAAAAATACAGTTACACAAAAAACGACGTTTTTGGACCAATAATTGAATCGGATTTTGTCACATTTTGCAGCCACTGAATATCTTCGTGGCATAATTGTTTAGTTATTGTTATACTGGAACAACAAAAAAAATCCAGTTACTGTCTCCAAAAACATAATTTGTTTAGTAAAACTTATCATTTAAAGTACATTTTTACACTAATGCAGATATGTGTAAAAAATTATCTATACAATGTAAAAAAAAAGTTTATATAATCAGTCTATATCGAAAAAAAATTTGCAATAAAAACGACACTCCGTTTTCCTGCCTGCGGCTACAAGCTAAAGCCGTGTGATGATAAGACATGCTAAAATGCTACAGATTTGTTTTCGGGTAGTGATTCGATGTTGGAAAAACGGAACGTCTAACCCGGAATAACTTCGAATAATCAGATTTATTTAAGCGTAATATTAAGCAATTTTGTTTGGATTGCGACATACTGCCGGAATTTCGGCTGTATCTCATCTTTATGCTAGTTCGTAAATGGTATATTAGTTAGGAAACAGTTTTCATATACACTGGAAGAACTGCATTCTTCCTTAATAAAATGTTTGATGACAATTTTTCAATCCCGCTAAAGAGAAAGTGCATTTGCAGTTGCCACTTCAATCAAACTTGCCATCAAAGATCTTACGAATTATCTACCGGTAAAAATTGTCTATATAACACCGCTTAATTTATACTAGCGCTATTGTTGCTACTACTACTACTCACGTTGGGCGCAGTTGGAGCCCCGTTCCGACTCAACTCCTCACTCTTTACAAAATCAATATCTGCATAAACAAATGTCGTATGGTCGCCATCATTCAGATTAGTTTCGCTTGTCGCTTTAGGACTCCGCCTGCCTTCTAGAGGATCGCAAGACAACTCCAGACTCGCATAGTGAAGTCGGACTACATGTTGAGGAGCCTGCTCAGATTCCAGTTGGTTTGTTACAACCCCTACCACAGTTGAAGCTGACGAACTGGATGAATAGACGCTGGAGTTTGATCCTGCAAGAAAACGATCTGGTCAGTTCTTGCGTGAGGCTTTGATTGGTGCAAATTGCGCCTACCCAGTCTAGAGGTAAGACCTTCCGAGCATTCTGAGGGAGGTCTAGATGGCGGCTTTTCGGATCCCGTCGTGGATGCAGGTCGTTGTACCTGTGTTTTAATTGTTTCCGAGTTCGATGAGTTCGGGTGCAAACTTTTAGGCGACGGTGAAGGCGATTTAAGTCTGTCGTAACCTTCACTAGGATTGGATTCCGGTTGATTTCTGTCCAGTTTTTCACCTTGCGTCGCATTGCATTCTGGTGTGGAACTATTGATCCGTTCATTGGATTCTTGGATGGGCATAAAACACATGCTATGCCGGTCGTTGGGCCCAGCGGAAACCAATGGACTGACCAAAGGAGGAGGGGCAGCTCCACTCTTCCGCGGCAAAGTTTTGAACGAGGAAAAATAGGAGGGTTTCATTATAGCATAATCAGCGTAATCGGTGTCCACTACGTCTAGTTGTCTCGGGACTCTTGCAGTTGGCGGACAGTAATTCATGTAAGCAGATTCATCCACCTTAACTGCTTCCACGGGACTTTTCTTGGGCTCAAAGTCCATCATGGTGTAACCATCAATCGTGCTCTGCAACGCAATTCGAATCGGTTAGAAACTTCACCTTTCATTCGTACTTTGGCGATTGCTACAGGGTAATGATTTGATCAACAAACCTTCTTTCTGTGGCCAGTGGGTTTATAGGGAACATTCAGAATGGATGCCGGAACTTTCATTGCAGACGCAGTAGGAGTTCCAGCGGTGCTAGTCGGCCCCACTGTGGGCGATGATGGACTATTTAGGCTCATAGGAAACATTATTGAGGAACTAGACGGGGTGGTGGTCACACTGGAGCTTACGGAGCTGTCCTTAGAGCTGTTAGTCTAATGAAGGATAATTGTTCAGTGAATGACTGAATGAGGAAATTGTTCGAACTCCTACCTGCAACGACGATTTCCTGGGCGACCGTTGCCGGGGAAGGCTAGAATAGGGGCTCAGCGGTAGGTGCAACTTGGGAGAACCACCGGTAGGCGATGCCTTTCGCCCCAGCAACGATGAAATGGAAAGCGGGCTGGAATTTCCCACTGAAGTGTTTCCTGCCGCTGTTTGAATGGGGATCGGTTTGGACCGGACGTTATCCTTAGCGGCATTTAACGCCACGCTGCCTTTCGACATATTCAAGTAATCTCCATCGGTCCGGTCCGCACTGTTCTGCCGATTGTGGTGGAATGGAGGATTATTTAAATCGACCGGCGACATCGGCACATAACTGAAACCGTCCCAAACATGTTATTACGGCGCTTTTATATGTGTGAAATAAATTACCCGTCCATATCCTGAGCACTGTTCTGAGACATCCGCGCCAGTTCGTCCAAACTATGAGGAATATGGTCGGATTGCGGCGATGTGGACAATTGCGATCCAAACGAGTCAGTTCTGTCGGAACGGCTGCCTCTTCCTGGCAAATGATGCATGTCTGAATTGTGATCGCCCGATAATGCTCCTAGAACAACAGGAATATGTAGTTGCCAATTGACAAAAATAATCCAATCGTTTTACCTGGAGAAGTAGCTGCTCTGGAATATGTGGACGAATTCGAGTTCATTCGCTGCCTCTGGTTCATGTCTATGTAATCATGAGCCTGTTCCATCTGTTGACGGCGCACGTGCCGACTGAGCTCCTCTAAAGTCATTGGCTTCAAAGTGCCTCTACTGGGGCTGGAACTGAAGAATATTCAAAATAAAGCGCCTGGAAACGCACATGCAAATGAGCCTTACTCAAACATATCCACATAGTCACTGCGTGAATCCGGATTAAACGGGTTTGGAATCCTAGAGAATATCGAATTGGTGTTGGGGCCCGCATTCGACTGAGCGTAAGGCGATTGGAAATTCGGATCCACACTGGACAAACGTTGACCTTGCGACATATCCACATAAGGAGCCGCGTCGCTGCTGTTTGACGCTCCTTTCGAGCCTCCTTTCATATTTATGTACCCATCGTGACCAGCGGACTTCTTGCTGTCGACACCGATAACCGCACCTGAAATCTCGATCATGTTCATCCAAATCCTTATGTGGCGCCATGGAAAACTCACCCAGACTTTCAATGAATTCCATCAGTCTTCCCTTCGTGCCGTTACAGCTGTTGTTCTTGTGATTACAATGACTGGAAGATTTGTTTCCGGACAAAAATTTGTAACTCGATTTAGTCTTTTGATCGGAAAAATCCATCTCCATCAGATCGTCCATGGGATTGGTGTTAATGGAGCCGTGCGAACTGCCTACACGCGAATTGGGCCCTAATATAGGCGCGCTGTTCGATTTTATTCCCGGCACATGATGATGGGGCTGCAGAACCTTTAAATTCAATTACCATTTGCTTTTGATCCTGTTGTTATCAAATATATTTTGTCATTTGGAATGGAATCGATATAACACGGGCGTTAGCCCTATCAACTTTTAATTCTACATTGTATTCCTGGGCTTCAGTCATTTATTGATCATTTAT